GAGGGGCTCGGCCCTGGCCAGCAGCGGGTCCATCCTGGAGCCATCTGGCATTGGCTCTGTCAGACACAGGAAAGCTTCCAGCAGCTTCTGACAGAAGCCCCCCTCACTACCACAACCTTGCCATGCAAACCCAACAGTTTGGTGGTTGTGTTATCATCTGTAGATGTTTTATACCCAGTTAAATCCACTGGGCAAATCTGTTCCTAATCCAGCTACTGGGATGCTTCCATCAAACTTCCTTTTTTCCTTTGGAAGAAACGAAGAACAAATACTGAAGCCCTGAATTCTGTACTCCCTCTTCTACCTGGCGCTGTTTTTTCCCAGATAAGAAAGAGATCTGCTACTAGCAAGAGGAGAAAACTTTTTAAACAATCCAAACTTGCACTCCCCCAATACTTCTATTACAGAAAAAGTACCTCTTGATCCAGGTTGTATTCCTCCTTTGAAGAAAGTGCCATCTTTACTGTCATATAATCTCCACTTTTCACAGCATCCCTCAGTAGAGCTGGAAAATATAAATTCAATGCAGTTATAGGATGTTTTACTTTGAAACACCAGATGAGAAATGTCCCTTCTTCCCAGCAACTACTCACTGCTTGATATCGGTTCCGTTGATATGTGATTCTCATCTTCTCCGTCAAGATGCTTCTGAAACTCTTCCAGCGTCAGCCATTCTAACTGCATGTCCATACCCAAACTCAAAACTTGCTGCTTGCCATCTATCATGTGTTTGATTTTATGGAAGGAAAAAAAAAAAAAAATAAAAAGGAATGAGTAACTTACAAACTTCCAACTCATTGCTTGCCATGGCTTCAGTGATCAGCAGCTTAATGTACTACTACTGTTCGCTCACTCGGGAAGTTAGCGTGGAATGGTTCCAAACGGGGCGGCTGCGTTACCAACAGACATACAGTGCTTTTACTTGGAAGAAACAATCAGGAATTAGGCTGAAGAGGAATTAGGCTGAAGAGCTAAGAGACTGTGAACACACCATTACTGCAATGGCAGAAACACGCTGGAAACACACTGAAAAGTTATCAGTGAGTTACAAAAGAAAACATCCTTTCAGCCTCCTAGGGAGAGAAGAGTCAAGCACGAGAAGATGCAAGCTGGAAACGGAAAAAATGTTAACTGGCAGCACTCAGCTTTCCCCTGCACTTCTTTCTACTGCTCACCAGAGCTCTCCACCTGACACACATCTACTGTTCTCAGCCACCTTCTGCAGCAACGCCAAGTCCCTCTGTCTGTTCCATCACTTCTACGCCTTCACTCCATCTTTTAATTCTGCTGTGAACTTATATTCTAGCCAAGATCATTCTCTTCTGCAGTTATTCTCACGATAGTCACTGTTTTCTTCTGAAGCCACGTTAAACACGTCAAATGCACATCTGACCTCTTTAACACCTAAAACGTGGAGTTTACCCCGAGCGACTACTTGAGCCACTAAAGGCTATCGCACAACAGAGTTTAAGTGACTGACCAGAGTCCACTCAGAAAAGGGCTCTTCTCCTTCCACAGGGTAGTCGCCACCAAAGCGTGGGGGCAATCCTAACAACGTAAGCCCAAAACTGGGGAGAGCCAGTTCACCTCCAGCCGAGCCAGAGTTCTAACTCTTTCAACATGGTACCATCTCCTTTTTAAGTAAAGCAGTTTAGAATGACGTGTAAATTGCTACTCTGAAACCAGGGGTCAGAAGCGGTGATGCACACAGGAAGGACACGTGCTGGATAAAGGAAAGATCTGTTCGGTCCGTATGACTTTTCTTAAGCACTGTACGTGTCTGCGCTACTTTCAGTGAAAAATTCTCTCCAGCAACACCTGTTGGAAGCATCGCAGCTGCTCCTCATCCGTTCACTGTTATCAACGTGGAGTTACCTAGTTTTCCTCAGTTCATCCTCATCAGTGGGGAGGGAACTTAACCCGAACAAAATAACCCAGGATTTCACTGAGGTCAAGAGGGGTCACAGTCATACCCCATTACACTACTAAGAATGGAAACACAACCTCGACCCTTTTCTTCGCGTTTCAAATAATCCAGCTGTGGTGATACTCTAAGGCTTGTCTAACCTCTAACTCATCACTGTGGCTCCAGGGAGAGGCCAGAAGTTCGCCTGACGGGAATCCACTAGTTTTTCTGAACACAGAAAGCGTGCATTCGTAGTACCAGCGGAAGACTTCTGGAAATAGCCAAGTTGGATTAATTCCTCTAAAGAAAGATTACAGTTACATGCCACAGCAGCAGAGTTGACGACGTTAAATGAAAAAGGGCAAAATCTTGATTTCTCTACAAAAACGTTAGACTTCTATACACTTCCATGCGTCGCACAGGGAAGTTCACACAGCACCCTCATACACGTCTATTAACAGAGCCACTAAACAGCAGCCTTTTGCTTCCTAAAATAAAAAGCGGAAATTGTTTCTTGTGTGTGTTACCAAACTATACACTCTTCTGCAAACAAGAGAATGTCCTGAAGGGTCTTCCCCTTCTCTCTTTAAGCAGCCAGCACTTACTTTTTAGGCCCTTTTGTTCTTTTCTGCTCTTTTCTTCTTTTTCAGCTTCTTTTTTTTGAGGTTTTTCTTTTGTTTCTGTTTTCTTTACTTCTTTCTCCTGATAGTGAGGACAACAATCAAATTAAAGTGGTAGAGAAGAAAAAAGGAAAATAAACTCACCATTCCAGTGATGAGATACATTTACAATTAGTACTGCTGAAACCTGCACAAAACAGACTTTATTCCTGAGAAAAGAATTAAACTGGCGAGGCAGGAGTTAAGTCTGTGAAGGCTTTTTCCCTAAGAGGTGTTCCTTCTGAAATAAACCAACTCCAAATTTTTCTGTATCCCAGACATGCAAGGTGCTTTACGGCATGAGGTGCAGATATGTCAAAACCAGCATTCTGGAGAAAATTCAAAATTAGTAACTTTTCATTTGTCCCAAATACTGGAACAACTGAATTTGATTCCAAATAGAACCTAAGTATTTCAGAGTATTTAACACCTTTGTAGCACCACATTCAGAGCAGTTATCATAGCACCAACTTTAACCTTAACTGAGAAAACACCACATTTGCATACAGAAGGTTCCAAATTTTCCAATTTACATATTGCCAGCAACAAGGTTCCACACAGCCTCCGGTGGAGGAGGAGACCTGAAGGAAAAGGCAAGGAAACCCATGGATTGAAATAAGAACAATTTAATAATTGAATATAAATGGTGATACTAGTAACACTAACTGTAATATATAATGAAAAGATACTACCTCTACTACTACGTGATGAAAGTAATGGAAAATAAGACAAATTATACAATTGCTCACCACCCGCAGACCGATGCCCAGCCAGGTCCTGAGCAGAGAGAGTCAGAGCCCAAGAGCTATCGCGGCAGAGTCCGAGCGAGCCCAAGAGGGAGAGCACGACCAGGAAAGCCAACTGACCCACTGACGGACTAACGGGGCCCCGTGGTCCCCCACCAACTTACATACTGAGCATGACATTCAATGGAATGAAATACCCCTTTGGTCTGTCTGAACTCTGCTCCCCCCCCACACCCCTTATAGGGAGAAAGTTGGGAATGCAGGCACAGTATGAGAAGCTGAAAAAGTCCTTGAATTGGTGCAAACGCTCCTCAGCACCAACTAAAAACACCAGTGTTATCAGTGCTCTTCTCAGGGCAAATCCAAAACAGCCTCATACCAGCCACTGTGAGGAAAATTAACTCTGCCCTGAGTAAAACCAACACACACACAGAGAAGGGTATTGCACCAGTCAGTTGTGAAAAACAGGCATTCAGAAAAACCCACCCAAACCCACCACATCCACACAGAATTAAGCTTAGCAACATCCAATTTTTTAGAAGTTGTTTATGCTAGATGTAGATATATAATCAAGTTTGCCAAAACAGAATTCAACTGCCTCCAGCAAAGGTTGCCTTTCTCCTGTAATCCTCTCTCTGTTCAGCCAGCAAATTCCGAACTGCAGAGTAGGTGGGACACGGCTTGTCGGCATAGCTTTGTTATCCTGACACTAACCTGGGACATGGCACAGAACTGGCTTTCTGGAAAACTGCCCCAAAAGAAGTCCTCACCAGAGTACAGACTGAGTTTATTATTACATGCTGCAGGAAAAACTTCATTTAAACCAGATTCATTTGGTGCGTCATTGAATGTCTCAGTTCTGCTGACACATAATCAGCTCTCTCACCCCCTCCCTCCCTCTCCCCAACCTCGGTTTGATCGGAGGTGAACACCTCGTGGCACAGTCAGCTGCTAATCCCAGCAGACACCCCGTGTTTAGGAGGAGAGCTGTAATATACTAAAATATCTGCTAATCCCTTCCTACCCAGAGGAGCCGCTAAAATCAGCCATCCTGAATCCAGATCTCCAGTTCTGACCAGCTGCCAACACACACTGCACGTTTATTTTTGGAGGTAAATCAAACGGAAAGAATGGTTCAGCACGCAAACCGATTCCAAAGAGAAAATAGTGTTACAGACCAACGCGACAGCGTCCTGCCGTCAGGACTACATGGGGGAGGACGGGTAGCTGAAATGCAACTGTTTCATCTGAAAAGAAGAATCTGCTAGGGTCAACAAGGTAGTGAAGCCAAAAAAACCCTCCAGAACTCTCCACCAAACCCACCCATATACCAAGTCTGCAGCTGCTCTGCGGCACAACTAACCAGTTACAGTAAACATTGTTTAAGCCTCCCAGACTGAAAAAAAGCAGAGAGCAGAACTCCTCCTTTGCTTCCCTGGTACCCTGGAGTGTGGCCGGCCACGGAGCACGACCACCAGCAAAGAACACGGACAACCTTGTGCTGGCTGAGGGGCCGTAAGCAAACCACCTTTCACCTCCTGCTGGTTTCTTCATACTTGAGGTGACAGCTCACTACTGGCAAACAGAACAGAATTCCAGAACTTTATCTGCTTGTCACCACTGATGCCTCTTACGAACGCTACAGCCTCAAACTACGAGAAAATACTTGAGTAACAAAGGGCCACACCGTTGCAGCTAAATAGCTTCCTGAACCTGGGCTATGCCTCGCAGTAATTGCTTAACCTTGTTCATGAGAGCTTTCACCACTAAGATCCTGCAAACCCACTACTATGTGGCGTAATCTCTACTCTGAGATTACACCACGCCATCCTCTACCTCAGAATCGACGTCCTTATGTTCAAGGTGGCCTAGTCCACACACAGAGCAATCTTAAGCAGAGGACCACAGCTGAACCTACAGAAGCAGCCTGCTGCCAGAGAATTATGGCCTCAGAAGTAGTGCGATATAATCCAGGAGGCATCAAGGTATTTTGGCTGCAATCCTGTTCAAGTCAGAAAGGGGTTTCACTGAGCAGCCAAAGCCTCATGAATTGCAAACCGTATTAGAACAGTGTGAAGCAGCAGAAAATTACATTCGCAGAAAACATTCCAGAAATTGTTTTATTTTTTCCCTTTTTACCCTTCCCATCCTGCTTTTCTTATACCACCACCCTATTAAATAAGGAAAAATAAATCTTCAACATTTGCTTAGCTCACTCCATAGAACAGGTCGAGCGTGTGTAACTAATATGAAACTAAGCATTTTCTGCAAGCCCCCCAGGAATTCCGACAAGACAAGCCAGCTGCAGTTATCTGGGAGACGAGGGTTCAGAAGCCATGGCAGCATTCCAGCCCTCAGGCAGGTGCTAGCGCGTGTAAGGAGAGGCCGGCTTTGGGGGGGATCAAGCCGGCACTGCCACTCAAAAGCGCGCTTCCTCGTGCGGCACGGGGCGGACACCTGCTCGACACCGAATGTCTTACTACGCAACAGAGAAAACGTCAAACTGAGGCCACTGCTGAAGGTGGGGGGGACAAAGCTAAAAGTGACTGCGTGCTTTGGGGGGAACCGCAGACTTTGTGCTAAGTACAAATACACACAGGAGAAATTCATACTTACACATTTAAGGACACCTTTCTCCCCTAAAGTGTTCAGGGCCCAGAAATGTTTCCATCTCTCCTATACACTGTGCAGCAGGCCCTTCTTTAGCTTCCTCCAGCTCATTAGCTGTCCCGTTTGCCATCATGAACGGCAGCCTTCTGAGGTACCTGTGCCCCAAAAACGTTTGATTTAAGCCCCAGCGCCCCCCGCCCCCCCAGTGCCTTACCTCCCCCACGGAATCGGTGGACTTGCGCCCTCTTTCCTCGGCGCTCACTTTCACACCCTTGTGCACCGGTGAAGGCGCAGGCGACACATTCTCCAACTCTCCCGGTACCATTTTCACTTTTTCCTGACCTTTTGGCTTTTTGTGCACACTTTTCTTCTCTGAAGAGCTATCCTGAGCTTCCACTTTTCTACCTTCCTCTTTAAGATGTTCAGCTTTCTGAGTTACTTTCTTCTTTCTTTTAACATCAACGCTATCATCAGTACCTGCGGATCCATCAAGCTGCCTGTCAGCAGCACCATCTTCCTCCGCAGTTTCTTGTTCCAGTCTCTCCTCTCCACTTACTAACTTTTGGTTTTCGTCCTTATTTTCAGCATTTAAGTCTGAATTTTCATTAGCAGTTCCTTGAGAAAACAGAATCAAGTGCTTCAGAGAATTTAAGTCAAACTGAACATCCCCTTGATTCTCCTGCCGTGATTTTTTATTTTCTTTAGATTCTTCTTTAGATTTTATTTTTAAATCTTTACCGTCTCCCTTCTTTTTCTTAATTTCTTTAGTATCTTCTTTCTTTTGCTTCTTTGGGTCCTTTGAATCCTCCTTGGTTTCTGAAGTCCTTTTTTTTTGTTTTGAATCTGCAACCAAACTCTCTGAGGAATTGTCATCACATTCTGTTCTGGGTTTTTCTTTGAGTTTTGCAGGCTTAGACTTTTTCTTCTTCGGATCATCTGCAATTTTATCCTCTACATCTTTTGGTTTCCTCTTTTTCCTCTTTGGTGAAACATTACCTTTTGTTTCACTTTGCCAGTCACTGTCAGATTCTGCTTCAAATACATCATCATTTAGAGACAGTTTCTAAAAGGTAAGGGAAAAAAGAAAATATTTTCCTACTAAACACTTCAGTGTAAACTATGCAGAAGTGGTAGTGCTTGGGAAAAGTAAATTTTTAAACACTTCAATCTTTTTAGCACTCCAAGCATCATTCCTCACTGCCAAAAAGTAAAATTCCCATTTACTATTCTAGCTCAGCTACCAAAACGACACTACTAACTGCTTGGGTAAGAACCAATACAGGAACAAGTCAATAAGCCAGTCAACATCCAACAACCAGAATCCAGAACAGAACTAAATCTGAACTGTTTTGTTTCAAAAACAACTAAGTTGATTTTGTAAAGTTTAGAATCATAGGATGGTTTGGGTTGGAAGGGACCTTAAAGATCATCTAGTTCCAACCCCCAGTACCTATAGGTTTCCCAGAAGTAGGGTACCAGTTTTCAAAAAAAAGATTCTTATGTTTCATTTTCAAACTGACTGAGCAGGTAAAGAAAACAAAAGGCCATATCCTGCCTTCTTGCAATGAATTTTTTTGTATTCCTATCTTACCAAATTTAATGGTTAAAATGCAAACATTCATCAGTCTGCTACACAGAGCAGGAAGGTGAAGTGAGCAGTGCCCAGCTTCACTGATGAGGCAATATGCACGTGGGTGGGGAGAAGTTTTACGTTGTCAAAAACAAGCTAAATATCACGATACAACGTTTATATAGTCCCACTAAAAACGGAAATAAAGTTTAGACGGATTTCATAGAATCACAGAATGGTTTGGGTTGGAAGGGACCTTAAAGATCATCTAGTTCCAGCCCCCTGCCATGGTCAGGCAGTCTACAAGCAAACCTGTCAAAAGTAACCAAAAAAAAAAATCCCCAACCACAGAGCAGAATCACGTTTCACATGAAACAGAGCACTTTCAGATCAAAGAGACTCCTTAAGTCATCTTAATTCCACATCCCAAATGTTTTCCCTTCTCCCTCCCCCATTAGCAGAGCCTAGATACGGAACATGCCTGCAGTCTAAGATACCCGAAGGTGACACACACCTGTAGGTCTTTTTTAGCAGGCTTAGGCTTAGTGTCCACAAGTTTTTTTCTGAATTCAAGCAGCACTTCCTTGCAGTCTTCCAAATGAATCTCTGGTTCCCAGGTATCATCATCAGAGGTGTATCCTTTCCACCGTACTTTGTACAGAATTTTACCCTGTAAGAGAAAATTGCCAGGTTTAATACAAAGCAGCATAATATTGCATCACCTACTCAGTTCTTTGAGATCCCAGGGGATAGATCAGGTTTTGTATACAGAAATGAATGTAATGGGAACTCAACCCCATGTTGACATAAGAATTCCCAGAATTTTTTCCATCTGTATCACATATGGCACTAAGTAGGTTGTAAAAGGTTCCAGCAGTTGGGAGTGGTTTTATCCAAAATATCTGTAACTCCTAAAATTTGTTCAGAACCAGAGCTACAATGTACAAATCAGAAATTCCCAGTAATTTTACTGAAATGGATTTTCTGACAGTTATAGAATCATAGAA